TCAGGCTCTGGTCATGTCTCCTTCTCTTCTATCAGTTGATCCGAGGCTTCCTACTTTTATAACATCTGGGTTACCTCCCTGTCACCTGCTTGGCTTAGCTCTTCCACCATTCCAGCCAGTTCCAGCATTAAATCCCTTCTGTGGGAAACACTGAGCAGTTTCCACTTTCCTGCTAGGACTCTGACTGCTACCCATGTCCCTGGCATGTTTGTCTTACCCCTAGTAGGGCAGTTCCTCAATGCCAAATGTTTTATTGTCACAAAGTTGCTTTTTAAAAAGTTAATTTATCTATTCATCCATTGATGGATATTTGGGTTGTTTCCATATCTTGACCTTTGTGAATAATGCTGAGATAAACATGGGAATAAAAGAAAGCATATATATATATATATATATATATATATATATATATATATATATGCTGTATATATATTATTCAGCCATGAGAAAGGCTATCCTGCCATTTGTGACAACATGGATGGACCTTGAGCACATTATGCTAAGCAAGATAAAGTCAGACAAAGAAAGACAAAAACTGTATGATATCACTTTTATGTGGAATGTAAAAAAGTGAAACCTATAGAAATCAAAGAGTAAAATTCAGGTTACCAGAGGATGGTGGGGAGGAATAAGAGGGATGGTGTTTAAGGGTACAAACTTTTAATGAGTACTAAATAAACCATAGAGATTTAATGCACAGCGTAATGAACATAGACAATAATATTGTACTATCATTATGTAAGGTGATAAATACACTATATCAGCAATCTTATTATAATATATAAATGTATCAAATAACAGTGCTGTGCACCTTAAACTTACACAGTGTTACATGTCAAATTTATTCAAGTAAAAAAATTAGTTAATTCAGACCAACCATGATACACGGTGCTATCATCTCAGTAGGTCATTGAATTTATTGCTGGAAACTCTTAAAATCAAGTCTGATACCTGATAACCCAGAAGGGCTTCAATGCTTTTTTCTCAGTGAAGTTGAGTCAAACAGAACACAAACTCTTCCGAAGGGTGAGCCATGATGTCTGTAGAGAAAAGAGCAGGTGGGATGGGGTCACTGTTCCTGCAGCCCAGACACGGGACTGGATTCAACCCCCAGTTCTTTCAGTTATTAAGTAGAAGCTCAGTCCCTACCTGCCTCTGCCCTTAGTTTACTCAATAAAAAATGAGAGTCATAATAAAATAAGGAGATGACATGTAGAAGGGCACATGTGCGGACAACATGTATAAAGGTTCCGTTACAGGAAAAGCTTGGTCCTGCCTGAGGGCTGCTTTTCTTGTTTTGTTTTGTTTCAGGTGTACAAAGCAACCTGTGTAGGGCTGCTCTTTTTGTCTTCATTCTCACTAATATCACCGTGTTGCTTCTTTCCCTGTTCTATCTAACCTAATCGTTTATAAAATGAAATTCTTTTCCTTATTCTCTAAAGCACAGCTACGGTGAAATTCTCAACTTTATTTGAAAGCCAAGGGAAACCAAAAAGGGAAAATAAATAATCAGATACAAAAACAATAAAGTCACACTCATAAATGGAGGGGTCCCTGAAGAGGCGTTAGCCTATGACTGTTTTCTACAACATATGGTGGCTACATTCCAGCGTGGCTCTTAGAACATAAGCGTTTGCTTAACTGAATATAGTGTTCCTTTCAAAGGCAAATTTTTACTCCCCCAAAATAAAACTTTCCCTGCTTTCACCCTGCATGTATTCCTTGGAGATTTTATTTAAATGAAGGGACTGTCTCCTTCTCAAAGCATCCATTCATTATGTCATCCCCAAACTACAACCTTTGAGCCAGGGAAGGTTTTAAGAATGTTGCCTTTTGCAGATCCTGGAGGTACCAGGATTATCTAGCTAAAAGGCAATCTTGTGTACACTGTATCCTTTTCATTGCAAATCCAAAGAACAATTCTGGTTGAAGCCTGATGCTTCCCCTGCTTTTATAATACTTCCTTTTCAGTTTCCAAGGGACCAAAATAGGAACTATCCAACAAAATAAACTAACTTCAGGACCACTTGTTAGCATTTTGTTAAAATATAGCCATTTCTGTAGAAACAAACAAAAAGATGGAATTTTCAAATAACGTTTCCTTGCACCTACTGAAGAATCAACAATCATCAGTAACCCTCAAGCATGGGCATTTTCTTGACCTGTGGCTCTGCCAGCTTCTCAAAGACAACTGCAAAGGAAAGTAACTTTTTCAAATAGGAAATAGAAGATCACCTCAGAATCCCACATCCATCTGTTCTAGACCACATATACCTGCACCTCTTTCTTCCAGGACAAGAAGAAGAAATGGGTTTCTACTGTTATTTTCAGGAGTAACCAGAGGCTTCTAAATTTGGATAGATAACCAGGCACCATCCTAGACATATTAACCCGCCCATGGAATGTAAAGAGGCAGGACGCACATTTCTAGGACCCTGATGCATGCTGATCTGGTGCTTTGGAACATCTTTTCAGGGGATTTAGCATCACAGAATTCTGTCTTCTTTGAGGAGGTGACACAAGCACTAGGACTCCATGAGCTCATGGTCCTTCTCCCACCAAAAGGTCTAACAGAAGGGAGCACAGGCTATTTCTGGGTAAAGTTGGTGTCTGTTTAAAGCTACTATTGAATTGGACCAGGTTGAAATGCGTTGGTCTATACTCTATGCTGATTATAGACAGTATGCTGCTAGGATACTATAATGTTGCTTGACACCTGCGCTCTAGTGATTTCAAGAGGGAAAGAAAAAAAGCCTACTAGATGCCAGCGAGGTGGTAAAAATGTTTAAGTAAGTTCAGTGAGATTTCAGTCATGCTGAAATGTCTCATCTATTCTTTTCTTAAAGCTTAGTATTCTTTTCACTTTTTCCTTAATGCTATTATAATATTAAAAGCATCAACCCACCTGAAATTTATCATTAATAAAAAGGAAGGTATATGTTTATACATGTATATTTGTATTTAGGTACTTAAAGTATTTTAAATTAATATGGACTTTTATTTCCCCACTGATTGTATATTTTTAAAATTAGGACTAGAGAGAAAACCAGCCACTTTATTTTCCATGTAATGGCTTCTAGTTGCAAAAAGTAGCGTTTTTAGTATGGAGTATAATTGTCTCTGTATTAGTTTTCTGTCACTGCTATAACAAATTGCCACAAGCTTAGTGGCTTAAAACAACAGATGTTAATAGGCTTTGAGTGCTGTAGTTTAGAAGTTTTTTTTTTTTTAGCTGAGCCATCCTGCTACCTGTTGGCAGCTCAGCGGCTGCTCAGCTCCGGCTGGACTCGAACCGCTGTTGCTCAGAGCTCAAACTCTTGAGCGAGCTCTTAACCAACTGAGCCACTCGGCCGGCCCAATTAGAAGTCTTAAGTGGGTCTCACTGGGCTAAAATCAAGGTGTCCACAGATGAGTTCCTCTGGAGACTCTGGGGAGAAACCCATGTATTGTTTTGCCTTTCCATCTTCTAGAGGCAGCCCTCATTCCTTGGCTCTTGGCCTCTTCCATCATCAAGGCCAGCAAAATAGGGCTGATTCCTATGCTCTCTGTTATTTCTATGGCTCTTAACTCTTCTGCCTCCCTCCTCCATCTTTTAAGGACCCATATGATTACATTGGACCCACCTGAAGCACTAGGATAATCTCCCACTTTGACCCTTATTAATCACATCTACAGAGTCCCTTTCACCATGGAATCTAGTATAATCACAGGCCTGGAGATAAGGACATGGACATCTTTTAGGGGAGGATTATTCTTCCTACTACAACCTCATAAATAAACCTACCATCTTTTCTTACCTTCTGGAAATGACATAAACAGTGTAGTATTGATGGTTCGACCATCACCTTTGACTGACTCTATCTCCTCCATTGGGGAATGCCATTACCAGGTATTTCAGAGAAATAGAAGGGGTTTGGGTAGGACTAGGGGACTTAACTGTGTAGCAAGTCATTTCCCTGGAATTTCACTTTCAGTACCTTCATTTGAAGAATGTGGATAATGACAGGAGCTTTATCTAGACCCTAGAGCTACCCTGACAGTTCCAGAATCCTGAAAACTGTACACCACCTTGCAAATGAAAGAGACAAGCTGGAAAAAAAAAAAAGAAAGAAAGAGACAAGCTGCACCAGTGGGTTCTAAGAACTCAAATGCATACAACTACCAAAAAGCATCATTTAAAAATTAAAACTTTAAAAAAAAATACAAATTGCAGAAAAAGAAAAAGAATCTTAACTACAAGAGGGAGGATGAAATTGCTCATTCCATCCTAAATCGATACTTTATCCCTATCTCCTGAAATAGGTTGTTTTAATCTCTATTCATGTTTATCTTGTTTTGCTTTTTCCTCTCCTCTGATGTTTGTTATGCTTTGAGTAGATATCAATTCCCTTCTCATTAAGCCTACAAACATCTAATCGTTCCTATCTGTTTTTTCCATTTTTAATCATTTATATTTAAATTTTGGCAAATGGAATGTTCTAATTTTGCCCTTTGAATGCCTGTGCATTCAAGTTCTATAGGCAGATTTTATGTCTTGTTTTTTAAATTCTATTTTGAGTTTTATAAAAATAGATGTTTCTTATTATTCCCCCAACCCATAATTTTCTTTAGTGAGCATTTTGTTTAATTTTCTTTTGCTTTAACATTTTATTTTTCAGACACCTCTCATTGAACCTCACGTTCCTCTTCGTCCTGCTAACACCATTACCAAGGTAATGGGATGTAGGTGGGTTGATGAGCCATCAGTAACCCCTGGAGGTAGTTCATATGTCAGAGCATCACATCAGCAGCCTCAGATGCATTTTCTAGAGATGATAAATATTCAGGGTGTCTCAGTTCTCAACACAAAACAGTGACATGTCACACAAGTGAACAATGTAAATGTCTGAGTTGTATTTTTCAAGCCAGAGTCAAATTGGAGAGTGATTTAAGGATTCATCTGGTTTGTTTTCCATCTATAAACTCTCCTTTCTCTTCCCTTCCTTCTACCTGGAACCCAGGTCCCTTCAGAGAAGATCCTCAGGGCTGGAAAAATTTTACGAAATGCCATTCTTTCTCGGGCACCTCACATGATACGAGATAGAAAATACCACCTAAAGACATACAGGTATGTGCAGTAATTCTACAGGGTGTGGCCCCCTCAGGTTCATGTCCGGTGAAATTGGAACAAACTTGCATTTCTCTGTTTTTCATCTGTGGCCAGCATGGTTTATATTCCTCCAGGTTCTGGAAGATCTAAGCTTGCCTTGGATACCGCTTAACTTGAATTATCCTTAATATTCCCAGTAGTTACACCTAAACAAATTTGCTTGGAGATTGGTTTCATTGTGATGAACAAAGAGAAGAAAACTTTTGTATTTCTATTTGTTTGCTAGTGTTTTAGGAAAACTACATTTAGATGAGAGTTAACTAACATTTGCTGAGTATTTATTTATGCTTGAAGCCCTAGAAGGTCACGTTCCATACGTTATCTCATTTCATCCTCACCACAACCTGCTAGGTAGGTGTATGACCATTTTTCAGATGATAAAACTGAGGCTCAGGGAGATTAAATAATTTCCCTTGCCCAAGAAAATATATCTAGCGGGTGGCAGAGCAAGGATTTAAACCAAGGTTGGTTGATTTCCAAGTTCAGTGATCTTTTCATTCATTGTATCTTTTATTTGTTCCACAAATTTATTAAGCACCTACTGGCCGCCATGCACTATTGTGTTCCAAGCTCTAAGGATACAGGAGTGAAAAAAATATACAATGTCCTTTACAGAGTTTGCCTTCTAATGTGTATTTTATTCTATTATGCGTATGATAAGATATACAGCATATGGTAAGATATACATGCCATACCTATAATCATATAGAATTAAGGATTCATTATAGCTGTCACTGCAGTTTTTAAAAAACTGATAAAGACTGGAGCTGCATGATTTAGTTGAAACTTCTGGGATGACTGAACCATAGTGTGTCAACTAAGAATTCATGTCTAATTTTTAATTTTTTATTTTATCAATTCAATAAGGGTTTAGGAACTAGAATGGCCTGTCTATAGCACACAAGCCTTCATGCTGTCTCCCTGCACCCACTATTCAGACTCACAGCCCTCTTTCAGCAATCAGTCAGACACCCTTTCCCATTGAGCCTAGACATGACTTCAGAACCCATCAGACTTGGCATGAGTCAAAGCCAGTTTGATTCACATGAACCAAGTTCATAAGACACAGTGAAAAGCTAAAATACACATTTTGAAGTCACCATTTTAAAGTATACACATACATACATACATACATATACACATACATACATACATATATATACATATATCCCTTTAAATTCTTTTTTGTTATTTATTTAGGTTTGTTATTGTTGTTTTAAAGAATATATATATATATTTCTAGTGATTGCCAACCTGTAAAATGACACCTGGCTCATCCTACAGCAAACCTTTGAGTATTTGTGCCTCAAGATCCAGCCTCTTGTTCAAGGACAGAGATGGAAAGACACTGCAAATTCTTCCTCTGGGGATCACTTTTTCTTCACTCCACGCAAACGAGCACTCTTCTGTGTGCATTTGTCATGAATATGTTTACAAGACCAAAATTGGCAGTTTATTTGTTACTCTTTGATTGGCCTCTTCTTGACAGAATTTTGGAAATGAGGTGGGATTTGAGAAACACGTCAGTCTTATCAGTAGGACATTCCTCTTAGTACACAGCCCATCTCATAAGATAAATTGTCCATCGAGGCCTTTCAGTGTTGGTATTTACTAGCCAGCATTTTGGGTGATTACAGTCATCTCCCCAACCTTAGAAGCTACTTCTGTTTGGAGTCTGTGGTCCCTACACACTGTTATAATTTCAAGGGGAGTAAAGGTTTAAAAAAATTGTGATCACATGTCCCAGAGGTAGTTCAACCTCTTAAACTCATTGAGTGGATATTAAAATCTCACATGGCTAAAGGACCTTTCTCTTTTTAAATTTTTTATTGTTTTTCCCTTTAATTTAAGATGTGATTATGCTTTCCTAAGTGTAATTACGTTATGGAAATTCCGTTAAAATGTGTCATCTTTGGTGACAGATAATGGAAACTAGAAGTCAGAAGCCATAATCTCTTTCTTGCTCCATAGTACTAAGTTTTTAAACCTCCGAAATATAGGTGTTATGTCTGTTCCACGCCCTATGACACAAATTAATGACCTGTTGGTAATGACATATGGACTCAACGGGAAGCCAGAGGCATGCTTTCTTTTTTGTGCAGTACAGTTTGAGTTTCTTATCCCAGATCTTGTTCCCCGTTCCATCCTCATCCTCCCTCCAGCACTTCACCCCACTGTATCATTGCTGTAGCTCTAGGGGGTTAAAGTCTCCCAGATGCACTATCATCCTCAGTGATCACTATCCTGGAGATCTGCTTTCAGTTCTAACATGGCTAGGGATCACTAACAGAGAAGAAACCCAGTGATTCCATCAGCTACAAGTGGACAGCTGTGTGCTTTTGTTCTGTATTCTGACTGCAGGATTCTTATACCCTGGACCAGGGCCCAGATGATCTGAGATCATCTCCATTCTGTGTGCTCTTTTTAGTAAAGGTAATCATTGAATTAAAAGCCACATGGGATTGATTTTTTTAATACTTTTACAAGACCGTTCCCATTCATAAATTCTCAAATTAGAAGAGGAATATTTTGGCAGGTCATATGTTTGGTTCAGAATGAATAGTACCTAGGTGCCTCAAATTTTGCCCCTTGCAGCTCTCATGTGTGGGTGTAGACTGTAACCAGAGCAGGCCTGGAAATGAATGGCTTCTCAGTACATCCGCCTTGTGAAATATTCTAGGGTCAGACCTGAATCAGGGCATCCCAGGAGCGCTGATAGGTTTCAGAGTTCCTAGCCTGTTAGAACTGGAAATGGCCTTAGAGACCATCTTTTCCTCCTCCTTTCTTTTACAGGTGAGAAAACTGAGAACCAGAGAGTTGAAATGATATGGCCAAAGTCACCTAGCTAATAAGTCGTGGACCTGGTGCTGTACCTCAGGACACCTCCCAGGCTAAGCCTCTTCCTAAAGTGCCACAACACCAGGAATCTCCTCAATTTAAACTGGAGGAGCTCCCTGGGCTTGACACAGCCTTAGCCCGTGCCCCAGAGCTAGTGGCATCCTTAGCATGGGAGGGAGGCCACCAGTGACTCAGACCCAGCTGTGAGCAGCCCGCAGCTCTGTGACTTTCTGCCTGTTCCATTGTCCCTTGGGATTCATCCCTAGGCCTTAAAGTTCCATTCCCTCCCTTGAGCCATCATGCCACAGACACCTATCCTTCTCTCTTGCCCCACTGAAGGTTTTAGTGTTTCCTAACATGTGTAGGTAATTACATGTTTCCAACATGTTTCCTAATGCATGTAGTTTGCCCATCCTGACCAACTTACCGCAGAGGGGGCGTCTTCAGGATGACTGTGTGACTATACAGAAAGCATTTGGAGCTCTTCAGATGACAGGCTCTGTAGAAGTGCTGTTGCTCATTACGTAGAACTTATTTATAAGAGATTTGCATCGCTAATTGCTTGTTTCTCCCAATACCCCTCTGAGGAACATCAGTAGTATTACTTGAAAATATAAAGTGCTATATAATTTTGCACTTATACAGTGCCTTTCATGGAGCACCACCGAGTGACTCACAAGCATTAACTCATTCCTTGCAAAGCTCAGGTGAGGGAAGTCAGAGTTTTGCTTTGCCTTCATTGTACACTGAGATTTTTCTGTGACAGGCACAAGATGAGACAGTTTCTGGCCCCGCCATTTTCAGCTTGCCAGATAACGCTCCCTGTCTAGCAGCCCGTTGGTCTCCCCTGGTGCTGCAACTTGTAATGCTTTTTGGTTTAGTCAGCTTTGCTTAGAAGGTTCTGTCATGAGCGGAGTGGTTTCATTGGTTCGTACAAGAGTTTGAGAACCCAAGGCCACACCATGTGGTGCTTTGTTTGCAGTGAGCCCTGCTTACGGTGGAAGAGCACTAAGTTCTTTCAGAGGATCTCTTCTCAAAAGACACCTCTTCATCAGCAAGGGGGTGATCTCCCATCCTTTGTGTCCCACCTCCCCTTAGACAATGCTGTGTGGGAACCGAGCTGGTGGACTGGATGCTGCAGCAGACTCCATGTGTTCACTCCCGAACGCAGGCTGTTGGCATGTGGCAAGTCCTGGTAGAAGACGGCGTTCTCAACCATGGTAAGATAAGCCACAGTCCCTGGAAAACCCTCAAGAAATGCTAAGCGCGTTTCCCTGGGTAAGTTGCTGCTAAGCTCCCAAATGGGCAAGAAAGAATTATGATCCCTTTAGGGACCCGCAGAGCTAGCATCTTCATTTAGCACTACAGATGCAGGAGTGGATGCTATTGATTGCTGTGTTCCACCATTGTACCTTCCTAACTTGGGAGACTGTATGAAGGGAAAATGAAATTGCAACCGAGTGCATCAGTTCCAATTATGTTTATTAGTTTGCATTCACGGTTTGTTGATAGTGTGATTATCCTCTGAGCACTGCAGAGCCATCCTAATGCAGGAGCAGGATGAAGAGCCGCGAGATGTGGGCCTGGGCTGATGACATGAAAGAAAGTAATGAATTCAGAGGCTGCCTTTTAACCATGGTTATCTGAGAGAGCCAATTTGTATACCCACAAGAGGACTGTATTTAAAATCAGGAATGTGCTCTGCCATTGCAGCCCCTGATATCCGCGGGGGCTGCACTTGAGCAGAGTAGCTATTCAGGACTGGAGTGGGACTGTGGTCGAACTGCTCATGCCATTTGTGCGAAGACCACTTTTCCAAACTGACACACCATTAAAATCATTCATTTAATTTACCAACACCTGGGAATCTATGGATGGTCTTGTCAGTGCTTCTCAGGCTTAAATATGCGCAGATCACCTGGGACTCTTGTTAAAATTCAGATTCTGATTCAGCAGGATGGACGTGGGTCCTCAGGGTCTGCACTTCCAACATGCTCCCAGATGCCGCGGTCCTGAGAGCACATTTTGAGTAGCAAGGATTTACCACCTCTCTATCTTTTGGTGGTGTTGATATTCCAATCTGAAAAGGGGCTTGAAAGCTTTAAGATGTATAGAATGAAGGACTGAGCCGAGTTTACTGACTTTGTCCTTCTGAGATCTAAATCTTTTTCTTTAGAGGGAACAAGAGAAAAAACTTTTCAAAATCCGAACTGGAAGGAAATGACCATAGACCCTCCTAAGGGATCTTAAGACCTAGAAGCTTGATCTAGTCAGCTTTATTCAAACAATTTTCTTCTAACTTTTTTGAAGTGCAGATAGGCATGTTTATAACCCGTACATATAGAAACAAAAGCATGAACTCTGATCCTGACAAAGTAAGGTTTTTTTTAAGTCTGTACTTTCAAAAACCATTTTACAGCATGAGCTGGCAGTTGGTTATTTCCCGGTTTGGGACATATGTCCCACATGCTAGAAAATGTCACCAAGGCAATTTTTGCTGGTCAAAGTGCTCATCTCAGACAAGTTGGCAGGTTGTCATGAGCTAGTCCTAGGGCGGCCCAGGAGGTGGGCGGGTCAGAGAGAGCTGTGAGGTGTGTGCCTGCAGCCGGACGTCAATGTCTTCCAGCTGCACAGCCCTGGGCGAGGCAGAGTGAGAAGGATGAGGAGTCTCACCACTTTGCTGCCACTTGGCTCTCTTGCCCGACACCATCCATTTGTTTCCGGTAACCGGGGCCGGGAGGCAGAGGTGCAGCAACAGCTGACGCTTGCCTCCATGTTTCCCGTAGTGGACCAGGAGCATCATTTCCAAGACAAATATTTATTTTATCGATTTCTGGACGACGAGCACGAGGATGCCTCGTTGCCAACTGAGGAGGAGAAGAAGGAATGTGATGAAGAGCTCCAGGACACCATGCTGCTGCTGTCGCAGATGGGCCCCGATGCCCACATGCGGATGATCCTCCGCAAACCGTGAGTAAGCGCGCGGTACACACCCGCTCTGGTCACCGGGGCCTGCAGTGTGCAGGCATGCACGCCCAGGCCGGGAGGAGAGAGGCTGATTTCAAAAGTCCTGGTCTCACCCGGGGCCAAAGGAGAGACGGAAGGGTGATACAGCAGTGTTGGTCTATTTTCTATTTTATTTTCATCCAGATATCTCCATTTCTATTTAGCATGAGTTAAAACAGAGATTTTTTTTTTTTTTTTTAGTGGTTGGCTCAGGATGTCAAAACTGAGCGCATATGTTAAATGACCTTTGGTCAATGACAAACAAACTGCTCTGTTTCTATGCCAGACCGTCATAGCTCCTTTGTCCCTAATGCAATGAAACAGAGGTTGTCAGAACCATAGACCTATACCTGTGCTTGTATGCATTCATTCATTCATGCATTCATTCATTCGGTAACACCTTTTCACCTCATTTTGAACCTTGTGTGCTTTAGATTAAAGACACTTACTTAAGAGAACACCACTGCTCCACTAATGCTCCAAGGCCTCCATTCAGCCAGTGAGATGCTCTCCCCTTTCCATCTCCACTGAAACCCACCTTACTTTCAGTAGCAGCACAGCAGCTGAAATAGAGAGGACTCTGAACTATTTAATCAGATCAATTCAGAAAGAAGGAATTGAGCCACTCTTCTGTTCAGGGAGCTCTACTAACTGCTGTGGGGCATACAAAGAAGCATATGTCACGGTCCCAATCTCAGGGAAACCTTTTCAATAAGGGATGACTTGGCACTTGGTTCTGAAGCCACCACACACGGGCTTATGTTTTTCTGCTGGAAAGGAAATCCCCCTCCACCCTGTAGCCAGTGCCAGCCAGCTGTGGATGCCAGCTCTGAGTCACTGGCTTGGCTGGCCTCCATTTATTAGCAGGTTTCAGCAAGAGTGTTAAACTTCACGTCTTGTGTGACCACTGAGCACTTTCCAAAAGCGAGGTGTACCTCAGGCCAACCTCCCCAATGTCTGCCCCTCACACCAACTCACATAGCCTCTCAGTGCCCCTTTATTTCCTTTCCTCAGGATTCTTCCCCTTTCACTGCAAAAAGGCTTTTCAACATATTTCATTTTCTTTTCACACCATGTCCCCTTTGTCAAAACTTTCTCTTGGGTCTTAATGTCCCCCACCATTGGTTTAAAGGCCTTCCCGTATCCCAGATGGCACCATCAACCTGAACTCTAGAACCATGGTTTTCAGCTCCTTTAGCCTCAAACAAAAAAAAATTATTTTTGTTTTTTTGCCTCAAAATTTTGTTTCTTCAAACAAAAGTTTTAACTAGAAAATCTCAAATATCAAGCGGAAAGCCAGAGCTTCGCTGGCCTAATCATGAGTAATATCCAAGAAATCTTCCCAAGCAATTTATACTTTATCTGCCCTGAAGGATCATCGGGGTGGGGACTTCCAGAACTCCCTCAGAAAGTGGCAAGACGGATGGGATAAGTGTGTTCGAAGCGAGGGGAAGTATTTTGAGGGGGGTTAATAGCAATGTGTCTTTTATTGTAATAAATATTTTTATTTAAGCATTCGCCATATCTTTTGATCACACCTTGTATAGCCACAGCTAATGTACCCTCAGCTCTTAGTTGCTTCAAGGGAGGCAGATGCCATTCTATGCGCAAAGATTTTTGAGCGTGTACCGAAGAGGTTTAAAAAAAAGTAATAAAATGGTTCCTGCCTTTGGGGGAATTTATAATCCAAAGGGAGAGGCACTCCCAAATTAGATTCAGATGCAACCAGCATTTGCTGGGTACCTGCTGTGTGCTAGGCACCATTCTAGGAACATTCATGCTAATTGTTCCATTCACCCTCACGAGAAAGTGCCTGAGAGTTGGTTTCCTGAGTCACCCTTAGAAATGGGATTCTTTGCTTGTGCTTCTTTTTTTCTCTCCTATAGAATTGAATTGCATGATCCTAGGCATCCAAAGATATTTCAGAGAAAAGTATATTCCAAAGATTGGACTTTTCTAGCCTATCACTGGCTGGTAAAGTACAAGTTTCCCCAGAATTCCAAGATACATTATGTTGGGTGCTCTTGTGATTTTCCCATCTTTCTAGCTTTTACAAAACTATAAACATTGGAACTGGGTTGGTAGTTCCTCTTTTGAGTCTGTACTCTTAGGTTTTCTTTATATTGAAATGACAGCCCCCAAGTGATGGGAAAAAGAAGGAGTCTAATTTTATGAGACAGATTTTCAAGTTACACACACACACACACACACACACACACGCATGCACGCACGCGCGCGCGCACACACACACACACGCACACGCACCTTTTTTTTTTGTCTGATAATAACCTTTGGAGCGTCTACTTTATTTATATGGAAGGAAAATAAGCATAGTTGATCAAGAATTGACAGTATCACTGCTGTCCTTGAAGAGAACAGCTGAGCACTTTTCTCCTGGAAACATGAGGTCATGTTCAAAAGTCCAAGAAATGTTGACCTTTTACTGCCCAAACTGCCAAGTCACTAAGAAATGTGGAGGTGTGAGATGCATTGGCTCCATATCGACTAGGGCAGGACACCCTTAATTTTTTCAACTCAGCACAGCTGCATTTTATAACAGTCACCACTGCCAGAGAGGTTGCAGAACTCTGATAATTACTAGGAAAGAAATAACACAATATTCTTTGATGAGAAGATTACTTTGAGAATTTGATTGTATAATGAAGATGTTGCTTTGAAAGGTACTTCCTATTGTTCTGAATCTGAGACTCGCTAGCAGAAAAAAAAAGTGTCACTTGTTTTGACAGGCTACTTAGAAAAATTCTCTGTTTATTACATTAACTGCGGCATTTTAACTGTCAAACTATGAAAGAATGTTCTGTAGTTTAAAAAACAGAATAGAGCTTTGGGGGAAATTTTTTGGCACACTCTTGTTGCTATTGGTATTGGAAAAAAAAACATACATTCTGAATGTGAAATTAGCTTTTTATGTAGTGGCAGGCAGAGTGACTCACAATGCCCATCCTGGTTTCACAGGTGCAGACCTGGCTGGCATTTGGGGGCAAGTGCTATAGAACAATGACAGTTTGACACACTGTTGTTGCAGCCAGTTGACGGGGACATCAAACCTAAAATGAGCTCTCAGAGCTTCTCGTTTTGATTTTGCTTTGTTTATGAGCCTAAAAACAAAAGAGGTTACCCTACAGCAAATAGATACAACATAGACCCTTACCACTAGAAATGTGCGTTCTGGCAATTTGAGCAGATACTTTGGAGAGGGCGCCATGGGCAAAAAGATGAGAAATGACCAGGTCAACAGAATGTTATAAACTTGAAGCCAACTGGACAAAAAGAGGCTTCTAGGAGACAAAGAAGGCTCTTGCCATGCAAGCCCCCCAATCTCTTCTTCCAAGTAAAGTGAGACATTACTGTTCCGCTGTCTAGAATGATCTATGAGAAACCAACCTTAAGGTTGGAGGGAAATGAAGTAAATGCCATTTCCCAAACCTGGTTCAAAGTTGGTCTGCAATTCTGAAATTCCCTAAAAGCCTACAAGCTTACATAGTTGAGAAAGTGATGTCAGTTGGGCCTGAGCAGAAGGGAAAAAAAGAGAGAGAGGGAGGGAGAGAATTGTTGGCGGGTTCTGGAGTCTTTCAAATGGATTGGGAACTCAGAAGCTTAAGTTCATTTATTTCATGTGATAAATTAATGTTTTCTAACATGTGCTGTGGGGCATCAGATTGAAAGAAAACAATTTAAGGTGGTCAAGTGACATGAAAAGATATGTGGGGGGGCAAGCAGGTGTTTTTTTACCAGTCAGTTGACTGCATTAGGCCAGCCCCCACTGGCTGTTCCACACACTTGCTCTAGAGGGCACTTGAGAGGCTGTGTTTTCTCTTAATTAGCAGAGCCTGTTGTAATAGGGTGTTTATTTGTGCAAGCTGTTTTTGAGGGTGTGAAATTTGAAATCCTGATAATTATAGGGAAATTTGCTTCCTCAGAGGAACCCCGATTAGGAAACCTAAAATCAGTGGTGCCTAGGGTTTTGATTTTGGTTGGGATATGCCAAGAGTATGTTCAAAGGATGGTCTATTCTCAAATGCAAATCAGAGGAAAAGAGAAGCATGACTGAAAGAGCCTAATCTTTACAAAATATGAAATTCACTGTGAATTTTTCCCTTCATGGCATGACAAACTTTGCCATTGTCTTTCCTGGAAAGACTGCCTGTGCCCTAAGTGAAAGCTTGTAGAATTTACCAGAAGCAATGATTGAGTTAAGTGGGCCATTTCTTGGGGTTGGATTTGCCTCACCCCTATAAAAGCAATTTACCACTTATCCCTATATTTACATGACCAAGAAACCAACCACTGGATTGCTGCCATGTGGATACAGGTTTGAGAAAGGGAAACATGATATTGCTGCCCATTTACAGTTTAGGGCTTATTATAAGATTCCCTCAAGATTTAATGACTTTATTGTTAAAGTCAATTGGTTCATTGTAGAAATTTTGGAAACTACCGTATTTCCCCTTGTATAAAACGCACCCATTTTTGAAAAATTTGGGGTCTCTGGCCAGCCGAGTGGTGCGTTGGTTAAGAGCTGGCTTGGGATGCCAGAGGGCCCCGGTTCAGATCCCAAATTTGAGGGCCAGTGACACTGCCATCTACAGCTAAGATGCTAAACAACAGCTCGACCTGGAGCTGGGCTGCCGTGAGTCGCCGGCGACTGCAGGTGGGTTGCCATGGGCTACCATGTGTCGCCAGCAGCCAGCATGAGCAGCCAGCAGCCACTGTGAGCGGCTGTCCAGAATCCGGCGACTGATCTGCCTCGCCCGGCAAGAGCGCAATGATGGTGCCAACTTGGGCCAGTGAAGCAACGTCCTCCACAACTAAACTGAAGAACCAAAAGGATAGCAACTTGTCTGTTCCCCTTCCCCCAATTCCCCAATTAAAAAATCTTAAAAAAAAAATGGGGGGTGTAAAAACTGGGTGCGTCTCATACAGTGGTTGTAGATCATTGTCAA